TCAGTGCTTTCCCCAGCCAAGCTTCATCCCCCAAGGACGAAGATCCCATCATGTCCATCCACTGGACACCTGCTTTAGTGCTGAACCACTCTCCATCTCAACAATTTTTTTCCTTGTCAGAGTTTCTTAAGGCAGAATTTTCCTTGGCTGCTCATTGTCATTGTTGGCTCTGATCTTTTGCTGTGCACATCTATCAAGAGTCTGCCTCCATCTTCCCTGGAATTCCTCTCCCTTAGGAACCTGAAGAATGCACTTAGGGCTCCCAATGGCCTCAGCCCCTTCCTCCCCAGGCTGAACAAACCTCCTATGTCTCTTTGCGCAGCAGGCTGCTGAGAGGAAAGCTTGAATTGCTGACAGAGAGATAAGTCCTGCCTCTTCTACTGAAATAGGCTGGTGCCAAGCTAGTGGCAAGGAGAGGATTGTGTGCCAGGCTGTGTCTTGGCAAAGCTGACACATACTCACTTGCCATGGCTACTGCTCAGCTGTGTGAGCGCATTTGGTGTTGGCAAAAAGCCTTTCCTGAGCCATGTTAAAAGGTACAGCACACACAGAGCCCAAGCAATGGCAATGTCATTCTGCTGGGGCAAAAAATAATTCCAATACTTGGAAAAGTCTCCTGATTTCATACATTTATCCAACCCTGGCCCTCAGGAAATCTGGCACCATATACTGTTTTATCACAGCTGCCTTGGGCTTACAGGAAGGCTTTAGTGTAGTACTCATGGATGTTCCTGCCTTTACTAAACAAAACTAAGCCTAGGCTAGGATTACTTTCGGTTGTCAGCCTGAAAAGCCATTTTCTATACAAAACAGCAAACTGCCACTTTTTTTTTTCAGCACTGTGTGACACAGCTGCTCTTTAAATGTAAAACTGCACAGTCAGTGAGTTACTGAGCAGCAGGAGGGATAGGGCTTTCCCCACCATTAAGTAGATTTGATGCCCACACAGACATAGAGAGCAGAGATTCCCCCAAATCTCTCCTCTTCTGCAGGAGGAGGAACCTGCACCTCACTGTGTTTCAGCACTGAGAGGCTGTGGGTGTCAGTCTCTGGTGCTCTGAGTGGTTTAAAACAGAAGCCCAGCAATAGTCTGTATGATCCAACCCTCTCCCACATGCCTTGCAAGCACCTCAAAAGTGTCAGAGCTCCACCAGCCTGAACCAAGCGCTCCAGGAACTGCCTTATTTCAGCGCAAATGCTGCCCCAGAGTGGATGCTGGGGATGGAGAAGAGGGGTCCACATCACCACACTGTCACCACAGCTTCACACATGGCCTTGGCTAAGGTGGGACACATGGGTGAGGGAATCAATAAAGTCTTTTTTACCCACGGCAAACGCACATCCATGTTAATGTTGCCAGTGCAGTGCAGCGTTCACATTTCCAAACTACTGCCCTTCTGGTTGAGGAGTCATATATTACCCAAGTTAGCAGTTCTGCCAAGAAATAACAAGGATACCATGCATTTCAGCAGTGCTTTTCATCAGATCATTCCTACTTATTTTACAAACAGAGTTAAGGAAGCCTCACAACATCCCTGTGAGGTAGGTGGAAATTCTTACACCCATTTTACAGGTGGAGAAAAAGGCACCGAGAGGTAAAGTGATTATCACAGCAAGTCAGAAGCAGAGCTGGAAATAAATCTAAGATTATTATCCTAGGTCCACTGCTCTAGACACTAGAGAACACCAACCCCCACATGCTATTGTAAGCTAAGAGACTACCTTGCTCTTCTACTTTCACTTCCTTTGGTGATTTTGACACTTGCATCTTATGCTCCTTGCAGAGAGCCATGTGATCAGTTAGGAATTTATTTGCACAGGGAGCCAAGGGGGTAAACACACCTTTAAATTATTCAGGCTCTGATTGTCCAGTGATTTCCCCCTTCTCAAGGAAAAAATATTCCTCATTCATCATATATATCTTTATGTTTTGCTAAGTTATTTTTTGAGTGGAATCATACACTGCATCCACAGCTCTGAGGCTGTTATGCAACTTCACTAGGAATTTCTTTAATAAACTATTAAGTTTGTCTCATTGAGAGGGAATAAAGCACAGTCATGTGCTATCATATCCATAAATAGCAACAATCCTTTGCTCATCTGTAGGGCTTTCCATCCAGGACCTCCCTTTCCATAACTAGCACAACATGTCAGGCCTCACATCATGATTGTCAGGTAGGAAATGATTCCCAATTGCACAAGAAGGAAGAATGACTTGCTGACAGTCCCACGGAGATTTCCTTGCAGAGAGGAGGCTGAGTGCCAGAAGACCAGACTGTTCCTGCCCCCTTTGCTGAGCAGCACTGTCCTGATGCCATGGCCCGTGCCTTGTGGCTACAGATTCACTGCCAGCCAGGTAGAACACTTGAAAACTGACTTTAAAAATAAAAACATCAAGAAGCAGTTGAGTGGATGCAGGAGGAAAATGCCAGCTTCTTCTTGTGCTGTTGGGACCCAGAGGAAGAAAGGAACATTCCTGTGGCAGCTGGGAGAGAACTACAGTGTCCATGGAGCACACTGCACATGGTGCATTTTACTGAGGCTCATCATCATTAACATGTGGTAATTAAAGACTGCCCTGCCTGACAGCCACATTATGAGCCATGTACTCCTGATGAACAAGCACTCATCTTTAAGTAGCCCTGTAGTCTAATGAATGTGTAATGTCAGAGATCAGCAGTGGAATTGTCAAGTAACTACAAGTCAGCAGCGGTGGGTGTGATTGAACCAGTCCAGTACCTTGGTATCTGGAAGGGTCAGATGCTCTGATGCAGGTACTTCACATAAACTGTAACAAGGTTGTGCTTTCTACCTGCAGGAAAGTGTTTCCAACCCCCCTCAACAAGTGGGCTGGTTGATGCTTAGAATCATTCAAACTCTTGTCTCAGATTTCTAATGGAGAAAATAAAATAGATCCCATCTAGTGTAAGTGTAGTGATTGTGTTCTTCATCTAAATCTTAGCCCTTTCTTTAGTTCTAGTATCTTGAACTGGGCACAGTGGACTCTTCCTGCTGAAAAACATTCTCTTCCCTCAATTGTGATAACAATTCTCCTATTTCTGTATTAAGAGAGTGGATAAATGGCAGCCTCCAGGCTCTCTCTCTCTGCATGTATTGCTTTATCACATTCCTTCCCAAAACTGAGGAGGGACCTTGCAGTCTTCCTTCACAAGGAAGGACAGCCAACAGCTTTTGTCTAAGGAAAAAAAAGGTTTTACCTCAGGCTGCAAACCTTGGGAAAATACACAGGCCCAAGAGGAGCAAAAGGATGAACAGTGTTAAAAAAAAAAATAGGAAAAAACAAAAACAATACATGGCACCTCTGTGGCACTGAAGAATCCCAATGCACCCTACAAACTTTCTACATATGTACAGCTTATCGTCACTCTGCAGTGAAGTCCGGCCAGGCAGGGAACTCCACCAAAGGGGTGGGATCAGGGCTGACTGTTCTGGGGCTGGGACAGGGCCCAAGCCTGCCCAGGGCTCTCACAGACTCCCATTGCCTCTCCTGGGCTTTGAGTCAGACCTGCCACAATGGGAGGCCGCAGGGGGGCTTTTCTAGCTGATGGCGGGATGAGTTTGATGCATTGTGCCAAAGACCTTTTTTTCCCTGACCTGGATTAGAGCCTGCCCTGGGAACAATGGGATGGGCTGCAGCCCAGCAGAAAGAATTTGCTGAGATGGCAGGGTCTGAGGTTTGCAGAGCAGAGTGCATACCTGCACTTTTTTGGCATGGGGCTCAGTTTTGGGGGGACATAGCTGTTAACCTGAAGCTTCTGAACGCATTGCTGCACTGTCCCAGCCAAGAGTTGCTGCTGTAGTCCTAAAATTAGAAATCTATATTAGACATCTAAACATTTGCAAGCACATCATTTTCTGCCTTCTGTAAAAAAAGATTTTTCTGAGTCTCTGAGACTTCTGTACAGACCTGTTGGCACAAAAGGTCTAAGGCATCTTTTGAAAGGCATTGTCTTACTTGACTGAGACCTTGGCATTTCAGGGAGAAGGAGTCCACTGAATGGCTCCTGTCTGTCAAATTAAAAACAAAGGCTGTCAAAAGACTTTTACCATATCAGTCTTTTCAAACTTGACCAACCAGTTTTGTATTTAGAAGTTTAAAAAGTCACATAGTTACCCAGACCCCTGGTTTAGGTTCACAGGTGCCTTCAGGACTCTGTACCTGAGATTTGCTGAGTGCCTGGGAGCCTGGAAGCTCCAGGAACTGAACACTTGTCAGGATCATTCCTGAAGGCTTGTATTTGGTTTCATGCTCTGGGGGCTATAGCTGTCTCCTCCTTTCTCAGAAGATTTTTTTCCCTCTTGCTTGGCTAAATCTAGTTTCAAATCTTTAAGTCACAAGGCTACAAGTAAAAAATATCACTTGAATTTATTCTTTCCAGTGTTCTGAACTAGTCTCAGGGCTGGATGACCCTATTGGGAGCAAATAATCCATCTCTGGGCATGTGCTAAGTCTGAGTAAAGACCTACTGTTAACCTTGCCCACTGTCAATATCACTTGCAGAGCAGAAATATTTTTGACCAGGGAAAATATATTTGCCTAACTCAGATATGCATTCACAGAGAAATTTGGAACATTTTTGCCTTTATTTTCTGAATAAAGAAGGGAAGTTGGGCTTAGTATTTTAGTGTGTTGATGCCAAGCATAGAATTCACTTTGTGAATTAAATAACTGCAATTCCATGCCAACAGCAAAGGGGAGATCTGCTCAGTGAGCCATAGGAGGAAACAGAAAGAGGAAGACTAGATACAGTTGCTGATGAGTCTTTCCCCTCACTGGCTGAAAGACAGATCCGCCCCACATTCCTAGAGAAATGCGGAACACAAGGCTTTCAGTAAATGTGATCACAGTGGCAACATTTGGGTATCACTGCCGTGTTAGGCTTTAAAATACATCAGTTATGTGTACAGTGTAGATATTACTGTAAGGAGTGAGCTGGCATGTGGAAACAGGGAAATACAGGGACATATGGGGCAAAGAAGGCACTGTTACCATGGTAGTACCTTTCCAGTTGAGAATCATAAAAGGAAATAATATTCAAGTGGCCATTTTAGCACTTTGCTTAAAAATATCTTTTGATTCTTTCTCTATCTCTCCTTTTCTCTTCAACCTTTTCCTTTTCATGTGCTCCCCGCATCCTGCACCTTCATACAGTCAAATCATCTGACCTGGCCCGGCTGCTGGCTTTACTTAGCCTGCTCAGGGGTCTCATATCAGCAGCAAGCTCAGCAGGTGCTGAAGGCCCTTCCACTTCATCTCTCCCCGCCTCCTCTTCTGCTTTCTTCACCCCTGGCTCCTCCTGAGGGCCTGGATGCTCCTCCTCTCGTTCCTCCTCCTCTGCTCGCACCTTCTCCTCTTCTGGTTCCTTCGCTTGTGCGTACGACGGTAACCTCTCATCGAATGCCCTGGACAGATCTTCCAGTGGTCCCATCCCAATCTTCTCCTCAAACTCGTTGTAGGCTGATGGAAGGGGGCTGGGCTCAACCCCTACTTCCGTGAGAGGGAAATAGTGGGACACTGGCTTCTCTTCTTCCAGCAGCTTGTAGCCTTTGACCTTTGGGATGGAGGGGACTGCGATGGCGTGCAGGGGCTTCTCGGGGACCTCTCCAAGCTGCTCCTCTGCCGGCCTCCTCAGAGCCCTCCGGATCCTTTTCAAGATCAAATGACTGATCTCCACCAGGTTGAGGAAGAGGGACACGGAAGCCACCACCAGCATGAACATAATGAAGATGGTCTTCTCCGTGGGCCTGGAGACAAAACAGTCCACAAGATTGGGACAGGGCCACCGCCCGCAGCGGTAAAGGGGGAGAATTCGGAAGCCATACAGGAAGTACTGACCTACTATGAATCCCACCTCAAAGAGGGTTTTGAAAATGATGTGGAAGATGTAGGTTCTCAGGAGAGTACCTTCCAGGCGAAACTTCTTGGTTCCATCAGGGTTGTTGCCTTTGTTTTGGTTTGGAGCCAGGGGCAGCTTCTCTTCATCCACCTCAGCTTGCTGGCGCCTCTCAGCTTCCTCCCTCTCTTTCCTCTTCTCCTCCATGCGGACGTGGTGCACGGCATGCCCGAAGTACATCAGCGAAGGGGTGGACACAAAGATGATCTGCAGGACCCAGAGGCGGATGTGGGAGATGGGGAAGGCCTCATCGTAGCAGACGTTCTCACAACCAGGTTGCTGGGTGTTGCACACAAAGTCTGACTGCTCGTCCCCCCACACGAGCTCGGCGGCCGTGCCCAGGATCAGGATGCGGAAAATGAAGAGCACTGTGAGCCAAACTCTCCCGATGACAGTGGACTGCTCGTTCACCTGCTCTAAAATGTTCCCCAAGAAACTCCAGTCACCCATTTCTTACGGTCTAAGGGAAGAAAAAAACAAGGAGAAAGACCAAAAATTATGCTACATTTTAAAGATTTCAGGTTTTCCCGCTGATGTCTTTTGTTGCTTTCAGAACAGAAAGGCAGGAGGTTGCTTGCTTGCTGATTTGCCTGTTCACAATGATTTATTAGCAGAAGAAGGGCTGGGAAGCCAGAGCAAGCTGCCTGCTAAATTCTTCCTTCCATGGCTCTAAATGGGCAATTACTTTTCAGCCAGGGAGTATATTTATCTCCTTTTGCAGGTGAGAGTCTTCTGTACGCTCAGTTCTGCGAGTCTGCTTAGATTTTGTACACGTACAAACACTCACCAGCAATACAGTGGAACAGATTTATCAGCAGGCAGCTGCAGTGGTTAGAAGAGAGGGTGAAGCTTTCAAGCACACAAATACTTCTGCACCAGAACCCCTCTCGGGTCGAACAGATCTCAAATCTGCAGCCAAATTGCACCTAAACAAACCTAAATTCTCTCTAGGTTGCAAATGTCAATTGTACTTTAGCAATCACTGTAGAAGTAAGGTAAGAACAGTAATTACAACACCATTACTGTGGTAGTAACGCTGTATAAGCTTAACAACTACTATATTGATTAGTTTTGCTGTATAGAATATGTTATGTGCAATATAATTATTTGGTGCTATTCTTTGCATCTCCTTCTGAAGTCAGCTACCACACTGACAGTGGAACCAACCTGGGGAAAACACCAAGGTCTCTAACTGGGACCGAAAATGCTATTTACTGTCTCTAAAATATCAGTGCCACTATCTTGGGCTAACACAGAGCTGGAAGCCAGCTGCAGATATACTATTGGAAAGCTAAGGCAGTCATCCATTTTCAAGTAATGCAAGTCAAACAATACATCTGTCATTACTTTGCATGATAAGAAATTATTTCTAGGTCAGGGCTTCATTCTGCATATCCTGAACTTCCTACTATATAATTTCAGGCAAGGGAAGATTTATGAATGAGGAAAATAGAGATGAAAGTTGTTTTGTATGGGTTGATTTAACACATCACAGCAGTCTGAAGTCTCTGAGGAATGTAGAATGTTACAGTGGCCCAGAAAGACCAACTTGTAGAGCATGACAAGTGAAACAGGGAACATTATTCATAAAATAGCTGTTCACAGGAATCTAGAATTTCATCTCTTAGATACTACCTCCATCTATAGTTCCCTAAATGCAGACACATACACAAGCACTCGGAAAAGGAAGGTACAGTCAACAGCATGAAAATCTGAGTATCTAAACTTCCCTCCTCCTTCAGATACCACTGGGATATATTTGTGATGCCATATGTTATGACACACCAACGCATACCAGCCTGTTTCAACTACTCTGTGTACGTAGTCACACATAGACAAACACGCAAAATATTGAGAATTCCATGGCTCGGGGGAATTTCACAAATTTTCAATCAAAAAAAAACTCCATCAAAAAAAGCCCCACAAACTTATGATGGCACTTTTCTAAAGCAAGATGGACTCATATTCCTTGCCTTCAAACCTCACAATATTTTTACCCCGGACAGCCACGTTAGAAAATGAAGAACAGAACACAGTTCCTTCAGCTTGCACAAACACCTCACGTACATAAGTGGCAAACATATAATTTAATCACCAAGGAAAATTGCTACTTTCTCAGTCATTAAAGTCGTGTAAAGAAGTGTGTTAATGTCAGCGCTTACATTAACAAGTCTAGCAGAAGATTATGCTGTTTACATACATTATCTAAACTGATTTAAACATCCTCTTTCTGCAGATTCACAGAGCAAAGTACACCCCACAGTTACCAATCACGTGCAACTCTGTAAAAAACATGACTACACACAGTACAAGTTTCATTTTCCCCCAGGCACCTCGGTTACCTCCATCTCCTTCTCTCCCTGTGAGTCACACTGATATCTACACTACCATTCGAGCATTTCCACTGCAGCCCTCAAGAGCGACATTCTAGGTGTGATAGACCTCATCACAATGAAAAATCACTATGCAAGAGAAGGGAAAATAGAGAAAATGCTTCCTGTCTAACTCCATCACACGTCTTGCTCGCAGTTTGCTGCTTTTGGCTAAGCCCTCCCTGAGATCCCTTCCAACTGGGCACGTTCTTCACAACTCTGTCATGCCCATCCCCTCTGGTTTCTGCAAGTGAAGTGGTTTGAGGTTGCTTACTCAGTTCAACTGTGAGCAACAATATTGGGTGGAGGGATGAGGAGCAGCACAACCAGTTTGAATATCTGGGGTTCCACTTGCAAGCACTCAGCCCCTCCAGCCTCAAAACCAAAAGGGGTAAGCGAGGCATTTAGGCAGCCGCCTTTCCCTGAAATTCCTGTCACGAGGAGAGAGCAGGACTCTGCCTGAGCCCTCTCAGAGCCAGCAGATGGGAGTTCTGGGCTCTCCCAGGCTGGCTGCAGACCCCCACCCTGCTCCCAGCCATCACCACCTGCGCACAGCACCGGCCACAGAGGCCCAACAGGGTAAGGATGTTGAGCAAGCAACTTGCCGCTGTCAGAGGCTCCACCGAAGAAACGCGTCCCCCTCCTCTCTTGGCACTCTGCAGGGAAGAGTGAACTTTTGTCTCTCTTCTTCCCTACCCTAAAAGCCCCAATCTTGTCGCACGACTGAGCAGATATGACTGAATTGGCTCTGATGGTGGGTTTTAGTTGCCCTGCAATATTTAAGCTCCGAGCCAGACGGCTTTATGAAGTGAGTGACAGTCAGTGACGTGGGGAACAATAGGGAGAAAAAAAATAGAGAGAGAGAGGCAGAGACACAGAGAGGAGAGTCCACTGAACATGAAAAAGCAGAGGGGGGAGAGGAACAGGCAGCAGGCAGTGAAAACCTAATACATGCATAAATGGGAGTTTGCTCAGTTAAGCGGGGACCAAAGCATCTCTGCAGTTGCACTGGGGTTCAGCACAGCTCTCTGTGTGTCCACACTGATCATTAGGTGCTGTGGTGTGGCAGGTGAAAAGAGAATGCCAACATCTCTGATAGTGGCAGCATTAATTGAATTAATTTGTTACCCTACACCCAAATACAACAGACAACTTTCATTATTGATTTTTCGGCAGATACCGAAGTATTGGGTTTATATTTGGTATTGTCAGATACTTTGAGATACTATTGTCAGATACTTAACATCTTTTACCTTTAAATGTTTTCCCATTTATCAGTCAATATTAATCAAAGCTGAGAAAGACCAATTTTACAGCCTCACCTCTCCGTGTCTCAGCTCTGCTTAGTTTTTCCAATGCATCCTCCAAATGCATCTTGCATGTGCACATGCATAAAGAATGTCTAAACCAAACTGTTTTGTTAAGGACCATAGCTGAATTCCAGCAGCCCAGCACACAGGAATGTTACCCCAGGCACACTCGCCTGCCACCAGCCACCTGCAAAAATGCTGGAGAGGCTAGAGAAGAGAAGAACCACAGGCTCAGTAATGCATCCACAAGCACAACTAAATGCCCTGAGAGTTTTAATTACAAGTCAAAGGGTATAACCTTACTGTGAGGTATGGTTCTTGTAGTCTTTCTGGAGGCATTGCTCAGGATGTGCTCTTGGTGCTCAGCTCTGTAGAAAAAGAGGATTACTGGAAGCAAGATTTGATAAGCAGTGATACAGATGCCAGGCTCATAAAGTGATGAAGCAGCAAGCACCTCTCCTCTCTCTTTATACAAACTCTACACTGAATTTAATTTCCCAGAATGGCACTGGGAGACACTTTGTCTCCAAAAATGCTGTCATTTGAATAAGATATTAAAACACAAGGGGACACAAAATTTTGTACCTTCAAACCAACAGTTTCAGGCCACTCTTCTGTGTTTCTGGGCATTTGTGTCCATGAAAGTTCAGAGCTTCATCTCAGGAGTTGTCTTCCCAAACAGCTTTTAGGTTGATTTGCAGAGCCCCAAGGTCCAAAGCACAACTGGAGGCAGAGATGATGATTTTCAAAGTGGATTTCAAAAGAGCTAAGGCATAAGTGAGAGATGGAAAACAGTCACATTTTGCAAGAGGAGACACAAAAGAAAAATCCTCCTCAATGCACATAGTTGGACTGAAAGTCATATTCTGAACACCTTAAAAAATCACTCTCCTAAACAGGGAAGCAGTAGCAGAACATTTTTTAGCCAAATGCTACATAAAGCACGGGAACAGCCTTCCTGGAGAGAGGACACACAGTGGAGAACTCACAAGTCCCAAGAAGATGACATGAATAACAACAGGCATGGTTGGATAAATGAGAGGAGTAAGGAGGAAGAAAAAACACCTTTGTTGTTTTGTTTTGCTATATACTATTGAGATAAACTACTATCAGTGCATGATGAGTGGTCATCACTGCCACCCTCAACCCCTCTCTGGGAAGCAGTGGAGAGGGAGGATTAAGCAGCACCAGCAGCATCCAGCAAGTTTTAGAGAGTGTCTGCAGGCTGGTGCATCACAGAGGACAGGTGGTTCAGATGTTAAACTGCCCATTCCTTTTCAAAGCAAAACTGTCTTTTTGGGAAACTCAGTTCTAGCTGAATGTGCACATCCCTTTCTAGGCCTTTTCTCTCTAATATAATGAGCCAAACCCCAGATCTGGTATGTAACTAATGGCTGTAGTCCATCTCTAAATTACATCCAGCTACTGTCAGAGACCTTTCCCATTAACCTTCTATCTGTGTTTTGCTAATGCTATCCAAATATCAAACATTGTCTGACAATTGCAGAACAGCTTGCAATATGCAACTGATGCAGAAATTATATTCAAGTCTCTAATTATTTGGTCTGTGTTACCTTCATCCAAATGATCAGGGCTGACTTGCTTTGGTATCACAGAGTGCAGAGCCTTTAGGATGGGGCACAAACAGTTTGAAGGACATTTCTGGTTTCTGGAAAACCACCGAGTCTCTTCATCTAGAAGCTTCTTAATGAAGCACCACTGAGCTCTGGGTCAGTTTCTCCAGCTCACCAGGGCCTCCTCCCTCTGAAGAAAAGGGTCTAAATGAAAATGAAGGTGGGCAGTGAGGAATTACTGTTGTACTGGGGCTATGCAGAGGAGTTGTTTGAGATGGGCATGAAGAGGAGAAGGCAGAGCACAAGAAGAACAAGAAGGAGACTGGATTCTCTTAGGCACCAGGGTGATGCTGGAAGTCAGAGCTACCTTTGTAGCATGGAAGCAGTGGCTGTGGAAGAAAGGAGTAGAGCCCATAAAAGCAAAGGTTGAGAAGAGTGGACCTCATGTGCAGCATGTGGCAATCACTGAGTCTGCAAAAGAACTGCAGCACTGACAGTGCCACACTGAGAAGGGCAAACACTTCCAACCTGTGTATCTTGGTATTTATGTTCTCATTAGGCAACCTGTAGATGTGCTGAGTACTTTCATCCCCAAAATCCAGTGCTAAAAATAGTGCCAGCTAGTAAAAGCAACACTGTTAACTCACAGTGGCTTTTCCTTGCCTTTGGGACTTTTCTTGCCTTCAAAGAAATATGAACATCTCCTGCACTTTTCAAATACTATTTTCTTTTGGAAAGAAGTTTGCTTCATTGCTGACTTCTGAACCTGTATCTGCTTTGAGGCTGGTGACTGAGCTTCTGTCCCTGGCACCACTGAGTCTGTGAAGTCTCCACTGCAACTCAGCCTTTTGCTCAGAGACTACGAGGTCACTTGGGGAATGTGGGATTTTTCATTCCAAACGGATTTCCAACACAGACATGATGTCAGGACAAGGCAGGGCCATGCTATTGAACAGCTCTGTTCATGCATGATGGCAGATTGTGCAATTATATAGAGCACAACCCTGGCTAACGATACCCCTCCCTCAAACAAAGTTATCTTCTGGGGATCTGCTTAGCTAGGAAGTGGCACACGCTTCCTGTTCTTCTGCTGAGCTCACAAACCTCTCACTCGGGGCTGAGGCTGGGCACTGGGCACATTTAGCCTCCCTGCAAGAAACTGGGACCCTCACCCAGTGCCCTCCTCTGCCAGACACCCACCCAGCTCTCCAGTAATGTGTCCTTGTCCATCCCAGAGCCAGTGATCCATCCTCTCGGCACCAGGAGCAGTCTCCCACATTTTATCATCTCTCTGCCACCTACTGGTCTCAGAAATCATGGAAAGTGTAGCCAGCCCTGGACAAATCTTTAAGCAGACCTTACCATGTCCCTGCAGGCCTGGCAAATGTCATTTTTAGGGCCAGGCTCCCAGATTTTTCCAGCACCAGGTGGATATGAATTGCTGGGGAATATATTTTGCTAGGGAGGTGCAAGCAAAGCATAAAGAAAAGAGAGGGAGGAAGATATAAAGCATCAAGAAGGAAGAAAATTGGGGAAGTATGTTACGGAAGGGCAGGAACACAAGAGAGGTGAAGATAGGGCTGGGTTGTGCCGAGCCTCTGGTGGAAGATGAATACTTATGGGAAACATGTTTTTAATTTAAGGGATGGAACCAAGCTAGACAATTAATAAAGATAAGCAGGGCAAGAGTGGAATGCCTTTCAGTATCTGTTAAATGCAGTTCTTCTCTGAAAATTACTGTTCTAGGAGGACCTGGGGAATTACAGGCCAGCCAGCCTAACTGTGATACCTAGAGAGATATGGAACCAATTATGAAACAATCAATTTATAAGCAGCTAAAGAACAATAAGCTGATAAGAACCAACCAGCAGGGAATTTTGAAGAACAAATCATGTCAAACCAAGCTAATTTCCTTCTTTGACTAACAGGCCTGGTAGATGAGGAGGAAAGGGTAGGTATAAAATACTTTGATTTCAGTGAACATTTGTAAAATATCTAGATTACAGGCTCCCGGGGCAGCAAGCAGAGTCACCATGCAGAAGTTACACAGGTTGAAGTGCCATAATCAAGGGTAATTACCAGGGCTTCACTTTCCCAGCTGGGAGAACCGTGTCCCTGAAGTTCTGCCTCCAGGGCTGTTCGGTATTTCCTTGAGTGTCTTGGACAACAGACTGGAGGACAAAAGGAAGAGGATGACAGCTGGGTTGGGGGTCAGCAGTCCCTCCTGAAGGCAGGAGGCTGAGGTGACTGGAATTTGAGAGGAATGTGGGACACTGGGGAGAGGTGACTGCACCAAGATGCAGCTCAGGAAAGGTGCACAAACACCAGGTGTGCTGCTCCAAACTCAATTATGACCAATCCAGCAGAGAGCTGGGGTGGGACCCAATGTATGCCTGTTAAGTGAGAGCCCCACAGAAGAGGACAAATCTCATTCTGAGGTGCTTTAGTGCAGATTTTAGTGTATAAGGCAACGGAAGCAATTATTTTGTGCATTTACTTGATACTGCTGAGCTCCCAGCAGGAACAGTGTGTCCACTCCCAGGCACTACATTTCACAGGAGATGCAGACAAGTTGGAGAAAGTCCAAAACAGAGCAGCAAAATGATAAGAGAGGTGGAAAAAAACCCCCCATGACTTATAAGGAATGGATAAAATAATTGAGTTTGTTTTCTCTAGAAAAGAACAATGGGGAGGGGAGGCATGATAACAGTCTTCCAGCACATAAACATCTGTTATAATGGGTGGAGAGACTAAACAGTTGTCCCCCACATTCACCAAAAGTAGAAGAGGAAATAATCAGCCTAATTTGCAATAAAAATGATATAGTTAAACATTAGAAAAACACTTTGCAATGGCAAGAATAGCAAAGCACAGCAGCACACTGCTTGGGGAGGCTGTAGAATCACAGGAGGCTTTTATGAAGAGGTAAACAAACATCTGTTAAGGATGAGCTTACCTCATTAGCAGAAAAACAAGCAGGGGGAGAGGGAGGCTTTCTGCGGCTCTATGGTTTTGGGTAGGACCTGAAGAAACCTCAGAGAAATATTTTCAGTTGAAAAACACACACAAAAAAGAAAAAAAAAATAGGATGCAGTTGTGAAAACCCAGCCTGGGGGTACACCAGGCTGGCTGTGCCAGCAAGGAATTCCACTGGAGTTAATTATCTAGAAGTGGGGCTAATGAGCTGGGGCGGTGAGGAGCACGGTGGTGCTGTCCTGCCCAGCCCAGCTGTCCCTGCGGGCAGGGCTGTCCCCAGGGCACCTTCGGGGCAGTCACAAACTGCGACAAACGCGTTCTTTGCCTCCAGGGACGGCTCTGAGCGTGCTGCAGATTTAGAGGCGTTTTTTCACCATAACCCCATTCCCACCAATTTGCTGATTTGTGTCCCATCCCAGCCCTCCCCAGCGGTGCTGGTGTGACCGAGGGCCCCGCACTGGTCCCGGTGCCGGAGCAGAGGAGCCGCTCCCGCATCCCGCACCGCCAGCGGGCGGTGTCCTCTCACCGAGGGATGCTCGGGGCACCGACAGCGCCGCGGGCACGCCGAGCCTGCTCCCGGCTCTCCATTCCCTTCTTAAACGTGCCCTTCTTCGTTCCCTTCTTAAACATGCCCTTCTTCACTCCCTTCCTAAACACTCCCTTCCTAAACACTCCCTTCTTCACTCCCTTCCTAAACATTCCCTTCCTAAACACTCCCTTCTTCACTCCCTTCCTAAACATTCCCTTCTTCATTCCCTTCCTAAACATTCCCTTCTTCATTCACTTCTTAAACACTCCCTTCTTCATTCCCTTCTTCAGCTTCGTCTGCAGGTACAAAACTAAGCACAGCAAAAGCAGGAGAGCTCTGTGATAAGAGGTTGCACGAGAGGTGATGCTGTAATGACTACACTGAATGCAAATTTTTTTTACTTTTACAATGGTTAGACAGATGGAGTTAAACTGACATGAACATCATTTTGATGCCTCCAATTTTACCTGTTTTTACCTGTGTTGTCAAAGCACCTTTTTTACTAGTGAAATCTGTACTTTCACCTGAACCCGTATCCCTTTTCCAGCAAATATTTCATAGG